CAATCCTCAGTTCAGAATTTTTTGAGCCAAAGCTGGTATCTCTTTAGCCACCATTCAATGCAGTGGTTATAGATGCTTTATCTTTGCTTCTCCCTATGATTTTTTTGTAAGTCACGTGGTTGCACCAATTGCTCTACTAGTTGTATCTATACATTCCCACGCCCCAGACCCGCTGCAGAGTAAAACTTTGCTCTGAATTCAGCACAAAGATTTCAGTTACACTCTTGCTACAGTCAGCTCACGAACGTGCTACGCCGTTATCTCTTGTGCTGGTCTGACCTGCCAACCGACTTGGTTATTCATGAAAGAATCACAGAGTTTCTGTATCATATTAACTACTTCGACTCTTGGAACTGTGTCTGACTTCAAGCTTAGACGTCTAGTATAAAGCAATGAAATTTCATACTCCTCATTCAGGAAACAGCACAACCATTCATCCAGAAAACAGGACAGAGTATGCAAAGGACAGGGTTTTGAAAATATGATCAGAGTTGCAAGGCTGGTAGGGAGAGCTAACATCTTTTTTTATTAGGTTAACTGGTGTAGTTGGAACGATGTATCAGTGTTTATTACGAGGAGGAAAACGGTGTGGGGAAAACCAAGTCTAAATGACAAGCTCATTCACCTTCTTAATTTTTCCATGCTTGGTTTCTGTTCAGTGTTAAGTTCCCTTTCTACCGAGCTAATTATATTGGTTCAGCACCTGTGAGGGACTTTATCAAGGGCTTCCCAAATGACGGGTCTGCCCAGTCTACAAGAAATATGGAAGTTCTTATAGCGTTGTCTCAGCCATACTGCATCAATTTCTATCATGTTTTGTCTTTCTGTATAAATGAATACTTCAGCATTAGAGATAAAATACATACCCAAAATGAATAGGATATGCATTGCAGCTGAGGAGAAACCCTATGATCTGTTTTCCTCTATTTTGAGTGAATTGCTCCGTAGTTGGAGAATATCTGCTGTGTAAAGAGCACGGCGTGTCTGCATCTTGAACACTACATGTAGTTTCGGTCCTCCCATCCCAGAAAGGTGTTAGCAGCACTAGAATTTGTTCAAGGGAGGTCTGGAATGGCTTCAGGGATAACCAAATGTCTGGAGTGACTTCAGAAGGGACTAAGTTTCATCTCGGAAAAGAGGAAAACCTAACAAAAAGGGACTAAATCACAAACACAAAGTCCTCCGCAGGGACAAACATGCCTGTCCTTCCTCACAGCTGGTGTCAGAAGTAACAGATGGAGGATAAAATATAATCAAAAAAGCTAAAATGTCAATGTAAGGATGGGAACCTGGACTAAAGACCACAGTGACAGTAACATGGCCTGTATATTTTACTACATTCAGCCATGCAAAGAAATGTTCTGGATCAGCTTCTTAAAATGTTTTTTTCCATACAATAGATTTAGGACAAATGCTTTTTTTTTTTTTTTTTTTTTTTTTTTTTGCTGCAAACACTCCACTTTCCCCTCTACCTACCAGGAAGGACTGGGATGGTTTAGAGCTCATCTGGACACGGTGGCTGATAGCCCCAAGTCTCTATATAGCACACAGTGACCACTTGGTATCCAGCCTTGCCTACAGGATGCCCTTAATGAAAAGAAATAAACCCTGCTAATTCAGGAATGATCTCACAAAAACCGGCATCCTTCTCTTAACATGAATTCAGTACCTTGATGCAGGTGGCCCAAAATTTTGGTGGACTTCCTACTGGTCTATGATACTGCAGACCGCTGTGCTGTCTGTCACTCCTAAATTTCTCAGAGAATTGCTAGATCCAGGCTGCTTCTTCTTCATTTTTCCATTTGTCATTACTTCTTTTGCTATTTCATAATGCCACCATGTTTCTAGCACCCAATTCCCTTCAGCAATATTTGTCTTAACACACGATCTTTATTGACCACTACATCTGGCTGTCATCACTCAATTTGCTTTCACTCAAATCTCTAGTGAAAATAACAAACTCCATTAGAGTTAACCCTAAATCCTACTAGACAACACGTCCTATTTAAATCTATCAAATTAAGTTCAACATTATTCTAGTCAAGTGTCAGTTCACGCAACAAGTCACAAACCCAAACTCATCTGGAATTATTCCGCAACCGGATCTACTCGAGGAGAATCTACACTTCTGGGGAGTTCTGAAAACCAGCTACCTACATGTAAATTCAGTCAGTGTTGTAACATTCCGGTTATTTATATCACTCTCAGAATAACTATTTCATAGGAGCTGATTCACACGGAGAGATGTAACATCAGGCAAGCTGTAATGCAGCTGCAGCCAAACCTTCTTTCCCCCTCCACAGTTACTATTAAGAGAGTAGCAAACACATCCCATGTAATACGATGCAAAAAAAGGGTCTCACGGTTGCAAACTTTCCTCACCCAGACTTGAGGTTATCGCTGCTCCAGCTCTGATGAATTAAATTTATTTCCCACGTGCTCGCACTAAATATGCAAAAGTTATTTCCAGAGAGAGCTAAATGTGGGCAGTAACCACTAGCTAACCATGAGAGAATTGAGCTCAGAACCCTTGAATAAGAAAGCAAAAATAGCACGGTTAAATTAAACAAAGATTCACAAACAGATCTAAATTCAGAAGAAAGAAAATACGATTCTTAGAAGCTCTAGAAAAGCTTTTTGAGTATCCTATAATCAAGGTCCAATGCATGCTATAAAGAGAAGCAAGAAAGCAGTAAGGAGTTGATGTGGCTAACCCAGAGTTGAGCGCTGCGCTGCGCGGATCGAAATCCTGCTCCTGAAAACGTCTGCTAAAAATAGGGTAAGCCTTAGTGACAAGATCAACAAAGCAATCATAGCTGTCACCAACGGTGATCCAGCACGACCTTCAGTGTCAATCTGCCAGGAAGAAGCTTAGAAAGGATGTCTTGTGCTCCTTGTAAGCCATAAAAATTTCTGATTCTCATTAATATTTTTTTTTTCCCTGAAAGTTTCCCATGTAAATAGTTAACACATAGAAATATTCCTGTATACATGGCAACTGTTAATCAGAAATTCTTGGACACTTTTACAATATTTGGAACTTGACATTACTGGGGGGCAGACTTGTAACTATAAACTGAAAAGTGGAATTCTAAAACCTCATGGTTTCTCTGCCTCCTTTCTCATAAAAGACTCAGGGGGGGGAAAAAAAAAATCCCAAATAGTTACTTCTTTCTTACACTGGAAAACCTCAGTGTGATTTGGGGAGGAAAAAGATGATTTAGTGTTTTGGGGAGGGGGCAGAGAAGCGAATAGATGACACAAGCCAGTGTCAAGCAAGGATCAGCGAGCTGCCTAAGGCATGCATGCAGAATGAATTACGAATTGGGGAACATCCAAACACACCTTCCCCTCATGAAAACTGATCTCCGCCCGAAGGGATGGAGAGGGCATTTACAGTAACATACAGCGTTTAGAGCAGTTCAGATTGCTCGGGCGGTCCAGTGCCGAGCTCTGGTGAAGTGTAGCCCTCCAAGATCCAGAAGAGACACAAAACCAAGAATTGTTTAAACTATGGATTGCTGCCACAGGACTCCAGTCAAGCAGAGCTAATAGATCAGCTGCTGCTACCTTGCTTATCCAAACGCTCAGCTGAGGTTACAGTTTCTCACCGTTTTCTTTTTTTTCAAGGTAGTTATCTTATCATAGGAGCCTCGGATTGTCACGCAACATTTACAAAAGTAAAAGTGACATGGGCTGGGGAGCAGTGGTTCCAGCTACATCTGGGATAATCGGATACCTTTTTCCAAATCAAAGCATCATTGTTTTCTTTAACACATCCTACACCTAAGCGACCCACAATTTCCTCAAGCTGTCCGTCTCACAGGCACAGTTTATTGTAAATGATTTATTGTAATCCTGATTATTGACAACCTCCACCAACTTTAATTTTTTTTCCTCTCTTAAAGGAGATTAGTCAGTAAGTGGTCTGATTTCTCTTCGCTAAAATCTGTATTAACAATGCAAAGTGCTTTGGGTTGGGGTTTTTTGGTCTGCAAAATAAAGGTAGCGCCTCTACAGGACATTTTGAAAACAAACAAAAAAAAATAGATTTAAAGAAGAGTAACAGCAAAGATTTTCCAGGATGTTAACTTGGCAGTTTCTACTTACCTGTATTCATAGCCTGCTGTGATGGATATCAGTGAAAGTAAAGCTGCAAATGGCTTTTGGAGTGAGAAGTCTGGACTCCAAACAAAAAATTAGAAAGTCACAAGTACATGGCCAGAGTTTTTTCTCTCACAGCAAGCCATAGCATTTCCAGGATAAGGATACTTGGAGAGTTTCATGGGCCCATTTTCTGTCACCTCTTTGTCCTGTTGAGATGACAAGGGGAAAGGTGGGGCAGTGATAGAGTTGACTTGGTGGGTCCGTGGTGTTTAGCCAAAGTCAAAGCACCACAGAGAGACCGTTATCACTGAGCTGCTGAAGAACCATGCCAATCTTAACGGGCAACCTGAAAACAGCACTGTGATTGTAGGCTTGGGATTCTCCCCCAGGTGGGACACCCCTCTGAAACAGATTCTTGACAAAGGCATTAAATAACCTCCACTGAATGCAGATTATCAGATCCACATTATTTTAGTACAAGGCGGCTTCTGATTTAATATTGAGTAAAACACTTTCACTATGCAGGAAGGAAATTTCGTAGTATTAAAATGGCAGTCAGGCTCCTCCTTTCCTACCAACCTCCATGAGACAGCAAAATGAAATTCATAAACAGAACCTGGCAAAATTCTTGGAGGGGAGGGACAATAGTCATTTGGTTTTCCTGGACCTTTTGTATTGACTGCCCAAACAACCACGATATATTCACTTTGTTTTCAGAAAGGAGGTCTGATTGCCTTCCGTAAGCAGAGCCAGATCTTCCTGACCTGTTGAGTTAACCCTTTAGATAATGCTTCTTTTTATCTGGTTCTGTCACAGATCCTAATGGTAAACATAACGATAACATAAAAGCTTCAGGCGTTATTATACTCTGCAGTCAGAGCTTGTTGACTCACCTATTTTCTTATTTTCGTTACTCTGATTTTCTTGAAATCACGCTCCTCTTTATTCTTTATTGGTGACCCATCGTCAGATGTCTCCTGCCATGCAAAAGTCATTAGGCAAGAATCATAACTGTACAAAAGCTTTTAATAAAATTCTAATGCTGAAGACCACAAATGAGGCAGCTGGGTTGAAGAACTGCAGCATAAATGAGAGGTCAGACACTGCTTTATATAACCTGAAGATAAGTGGGAAACCAGCACTAAGAGGGCAGACAATGCAGGACACTTACACACACACACACAAATATTCCCCAGTTATCAGTTTTCCCAGCTGCTTCTTTCAAGATGAGCATCCACTGGAAGTGTATCTTCCCGTCAGCCTCCAGTCAAGCTACTGGGAGAAGAGTCTGCGCCTGCGATATTTCTGAGCTTTATCTAACATCGTTCTTTCCTGATACACTACTACAGGCCATATAATTGATTCCCAAGCCCCATTGTGCTTTATCCCCTCAGGCAGTGCAGTCTTACTCATCATAAATACGGATTTCTCTTTGAACTATAGGGCAAAAAAGATTTTCCACATTTCTAGGTGATAGATCTTTGTTAATGAATCCTAACAAACCCCTTAGTTATTTACCTGACAGCCATTTAAACATGTGGCAAAGACCTTGCAAATTAACTCTTGGAGTAAAGTGGCTTTTTTTTCCCCCCTACTGATACACCTGAAATCTAAACTATGAACACAAGACATCTCTACATAGGTACACACTCGGTGTAGCTTTATGGGAACGACATGAGAAGAGGATGCAAGTTCTTCTTTTGTTGTTTTACCGTATGGTTACAGTGAACGAGGACTGGGGGGAAAAAAAAAAAAAAAAAAGATAGAAAATAAAATAGTAGAAGATTAAATTTATCCCTCTTAATCCAAAGAATACCATCAAATACACTTCATGTATCCAAAGATCAAAGATTGGGAACTTGAGAGGAGACATAACTAATAAAAATAGGTATGGAATGATGAAGTTATTTACATATCTCAGATACATTTAACCATGCAAAACAGAACCAAAATGTGGAAGGGATTGGTGATAATAGAAAAGCAAAAGCAAAAATATAAGTCTGTAGTAACCATCAGTCTAAGTAGTGACAGCAAAAAACCTTCCCACTGAAAGCAACTGAGGTTGTGTCACAATCTCTCAATAAAGCAATATTACTAAATTGTATAACCCCAAAGGAATATATTTTCATTAATTTACGAACCTATAGAAAACAAAGTAATGACTTATTTTTATAAAAATGTTGTGGTAAATCCATATAAACTCTGTATCACGTCTTCATTGTAATTGCACCTACAGAACGTTTCTTTAAGAGCTAATTAAAAAAAAAAATAAAAAAAATCAACTATATTAGGAATTCTCGCCCAGCTGCAAATCTCCCACTGTTAGTCATCTGCACGTAACAAGGTGGTTTGTTTTACAGTTTAAGTTTTAGAAAGTATTTATTGCAATTTGATTTTGTCATAACAGGATTTCTATTGGACGTGGATTCGGTAATGGTTTCGCTACTCCAGGATCAATCTAATATTAAATTTGCTTCTTCGGACACTCTGGAAAGGGACCAACAAGACCTCATGAAGACACAGGGGGATTCGGTATCCCCAGTCCAGCAAACTGTGAGTAAGGCAGCCCAGTTCTGTTCTCTTTCTTCAGAGGCACAAGGTCAGATACAATATTCAGCAACTACTGTATAAATCTCGGCATATTTAACTGGTAACGAAGTAAACACTGAAAGTTTTATCCCTAAAGAGCAGAAACTTGAGTTATTCCTTGGAGCTAACCCTAAACTCCATGCTACATTTCCTATTTATTGCTTTAAAATCCTATTACTTAAAAACAAAACAGGCAACCCATCTAGCTATAATGCAGCAAAAAATGCCACATTTAGAGCTAATTCTCATCCTGCTTCTAAAATAAATACATTAAAAAGAAGACAGAGAGACATCACAACATTTTCGTCTGCTCCCTAACAGTAGAGGATACCTTCAAGAACATCAGAATTCCTTAAGACTTTTTTGGAATAAAATGATCCGTCTCCCGTTGCCTGTATGTTCACCAGGTTTACCTTTTCATAACAAAAGCAAAACTGACAGTGGTGTTTTTCACCAAACAACAGCAAAAATAACCACTGGCATGCTTTCATTATGAACATTTCAGGTGGAGGACTGACAGCACTGCCATTCATATAGCTAAATACAGGGGGGCGTTTTGATTCGTATTTAATAAAAGATCTCGTAAACACACGTATTAGGACCGTAGAGGAGAGTGAGGAAGAAAGAATTAAGAAGTTACAAACTGAGCGAGTCTGAGTTCAGACAAGAAGCCGAAAGCATCATGAGGTCCGGTGTGCTTTCTGCAGGAATCCATGACAGAACAAAACATGAATAGATTTGAGACGCAGACCCACGCGCAAATGAAGGAAGCAGCTGTGCCATGTTCCTCTCCACGGAAAGCTCTGGCTTTACACTAATTTCCCTCCCCTTTGGGACTTCTTGAAGTCTGGTTCTTCCATGACGGCATATATTCCTTTACCTGTTCTCCTAAAATACCGTCAGACCAGCTTGGATTTGGAGGGGAAAGGGACCACGTGATAATCCGTTCCGGCTTTTTGCGTGACACAGAACGTTACACTTCCCCCTCCACTGAACACAATAACCTGCTCTTGACTTAAGCGTGTTTTCTCAAAAGCCATCCCAGTTGTTACTCATCCTTGATGTCAGGGAAAATATGCGTAATTTCTAAGCTGAATGTGTTCAGCTTCAGGACCCAGACACTAGATCTTGTTAAGCCTTTCTCTTCTAGATTAAAGAGCACTTTAGTAGCTGCTATTTTCTTTTTGCTAAAGTGCAAAAGGGAAGGGAGGAGATGAGACAGGAAGAAGGTTAAAATGTCTGCCTAGAGCCTACCTGTCTCACAGAATGAGTTTGGCGATGTTAATGAAAGGAAGTGATGTAACTAGCAACATATCTGGCAGCTTGTAACACCATCAGAGGATGAGATCAAGCTTATTTGACTAAACTTGTATATGACAAGACTTGCACTTATCATATTCCTGTCATTTAATCTTTCATCACTGGGTCATACATCATCTTTTTCCTGAAATTGTCAGACCAACTAGTCAATAGTTACCTAAGACATCCTGTTTTTCTGAGATAGTTTGGTTTTCTCGATGCTTTTATTAATTTACTTTTGAACAGCTTTGGATACCAAGTAACCAGAAAACCCTTTAGATCTTTTAGGGCTTCTCTGCATGAAGGCGTCTAGTAATTTTATATTCCTCATCAATAATATATCTTTGATGTACTTATTTTGTAAATAAATAATAATATTTGCTCTTACTAATTCTAAATAAATGCCAATAATTCATTGCAGGATAATCCCAGTTATAACTGCCAACCATATGAGTCAGACAGCAGGACAGAAAGGAAGAGTTCAGAGTCTTCTCACAGCCCCAGCCCTGCTTCTCCAGCTCAGGATCAAATTCATGGGAGATACCCTACAAGCCAAGGAATTCACTGTGGCAAGAACAAATTTAAAGCGTCTTTCAGCACTGAAAAATTCAGACGGTACAGTTATGAGGAAAGTACTGTAGGAAATTATGACAGGTTTCTCAAGAGCAGCAGAAACCCCTTTCACCCCTACAAGAGGCAGATCAGCGAAGATGTCTTCCAGGAAGCACATCAAGCCCTCCCACCAGAAGGTTCACCCTTCAAAAGTGCTCGAAGCATCGATGGTTTCGAGGGTCTACCAGGATCTACAGGTCCCGATGAGTCAGAGTCATTTCCTACACACATCCAGAACATCTCCACAGAACAGCCATGGTGCAACAGCCTCCAGTACAGCACCACAGGTCAAGATCACAGTTCACAAGTCATGGTCAGTATTTTTTTCTTTTTCTTTTTTTTTCCTGTTTTCAATGTCAAAAATATATTTTTGGAGTTATTCTCTTATCTCTTAATGTTACTACATAGACATTTATTCTTGTCAAGTTTCAGGCTAGAGTTCAGGACATGTTTACTTGTCAAAGTTCTCTCTTTTATAGCCTTTCCCTACTGAAAAACAGTCCTCAGAAAGGTGCACAAGGACAAAAGATTTTCCTCTAAACACAATACATGTATCCTAAATATCCAAATCCTTTCTGACAACAGGTTTTGTATCAGTACTTGTTATCAACTAGTATTTTCAAGGGACAAAAGTTCACGAAACAGTATTTTTCAAGCACGAGGACATGTGTATCAGATTTATTACGACACCTTGGCTGACCTGCATTTTTCTCGATGCAAATAGAAGAGAAACTATCAGACATCAGTACTACATATAATTAAATAGAAGGTGTTTATGGTATGTGCAGTGCAGAGGTACCTGGGCTAATTCACATACTGGATAGAGGCGACTGACTATTTCAGGCACCACAGGGATCCCTGAAAAGCAAGACAAATTACCCTCCAGTATCTCCAAAAGGTATCTCTGCTGTGATCCAAAGGGTAAAGCATATCTTCATAATCTAGTGCAGACAAAAATAATGACTCCATCTGCCAGGAGAGGGCCCTAACCACTGGTTCGACATTGCTGTGAGGCAAAGAGTTCGAGGGTTACCAAAAGAAAAAAGGGTTAAAAAAAAAAAAATCTTAATTGGATTAAGACAATTTACCAGGGAATGGAGGGATGTTGTCAGGGTACATACCTGGGGATTGAAGCCATTCAGGTTAAGGAGAAAATTGATCTAAATCTCTTATTTCCTGGATAAATAGTCATCTAGGTCAGATGAGTTTAATGCAAAACCTGTAAGCTGTTGATGGAAAAAAAAAGAAAAAAATTCCCATTTTCTTCCCAAATCCCTGGGCTGCAAGATGTAGAGGATGTAAAACTAGCGCACAGCAGAAGTCCTTTGCCAAATAAGTGGGACTACTGAGGAAAAGACTGGCTACTTGTCAGCAGTAGCCACACGGGAACACCAGTTCAGTCAGCATTACACACTGCCGGCAAGTCGCCATTTCCGAAAAACTTCATCTTACACCCACCAAAAGAGCATGGACATTTA